TTGCCCATCTCAGAGTTTGAAAATGAAATGTCACAGTGTATAGCTCTTGAAAGTGCCAAGCACATGGTAAGTATCTGAACAAATGGTACCTTTTACCACAAATCTAAATCTTACCCAACTTTTCATTGCAAGAGTTAGAATTCTAGTCTCATGCAAAGACATCTCAGTGACCATTCCTGGTCCAGTCACCGCCTTGCTTGATGCTTTGTTTTACTAAATTACACCTTGCATCATCTCATTCTCCCTGAATGGGGTTTATCTTAATGGAACAGGGTGCAGGCACACGTCTATTCTAGCATGAGACTCAGAATGGGAGAGCCCCCTGGGTGGTTCCCTGAACACTGAATCTGGGGCTTGTCTGTCCCTTCCCCATGGTGGTTGCTATTTCTAGTTCATGTTCATGAGATACATGTAATTTTGAGGCTTTACCAAGAGAGAGGCTTCCTCTGTAGTTGATTTACAGAGTCTATTTACACTCTTATTACAAGGCAGCATTCTGGCTTCTGACTCCCTTGGGGCTGCCATGGCTTGCTCCTGGAGCAGCCAGAGTTACAACACTGGTTAAACATGCTGACCGTGGCATTCCAAGCCAGAGGACGCAGCTCCCCTGCCGCCCTTCATGCCAAGGGCTTGATTGCATTTGGGGGTAGCTGGGGCAGAACGTGGCTTTTCTGAAAGCAAACGCTTCTCGCTGTGGGTTGCTTGATTAAGGATTGTGGATGTTCTGGAATGGTGTGCTGGGAAAGGCTATGGTTTGTTAGTGTAATCTGTCACTAGAAATGTCAAGAACCAATATTCCAGCATTTCCCATCAGTCATGGAAATGACTGTGGAAAATATTTACCCTGGGATGTTGGTGTACCGCATAGCACAGGGTTCAAACAACAGTTAGATAAGCCTACAGTTCACTGTTTTATCAGCATTCTTGTACCTCTCTCTACTTTTTTTCTGAGCTCAGATTCCCTCTTTGAATACTGCATGCTGTCTAGCCCTTTGCTCTATGGATGCAAGTTGGTTGGTCTTCCTTTGTGATTAACTCCTTGGAACTCCCCGGCTGTGAGCGGAAATTCTTGAGGCATGTCAGTGTTTACAATAAAGACTCAGCCTCACTGTTCATTGCAAACTCCCACCCACAACAAAGATGGGTTCCCCTCTTTACCCACCTTATTATTAACTGCATACCTGTAGGCAGAAAGTAAAGGCCGGAGTTTGACTTTATTTTTGCAACAATTTAAAGAATTAGCAGACAGGAGAGAGAGATCTAGCAATTTTCCACTGACACGAACAGATTATGGGGGCAAGGAAATAGTTTTTGCTCTCCTCTTTTTTTGAAGCAAAGGCCTCATCCTAATAGCCAGGAATCAGGTGCGTACCACGTCGCATATCATAGGGGTAATCCTGTTCCTGGAGAAGGCATCTTTGGGGATTTCCTGGTAACAGGCTTTCCAGCCCTGGGCTTAGCCCTACTTTGTGTAAACGCTTGGACACCTGCTGAGATAAGAATCCCTGGAATCACTCGCAGGGCAGAACTGCTCATGTTGGACTTCTCAGGGAAAAAAACCAACTTGACCAGTTGCTGTAGGTCCACTCCCGACTCGTGGCCTGTACCCCTCAGGTTTCCAACAGCTGTGATCTTTCAGAGTAGACTGCCAAGCCTTCTTTTCAGATGGTTCTGAGGAGAATCGAACCACCAACTTTCTAATTAGTAGCCAAGCCCTTAACCATCTGTGTTACCCAGGAATGCTCTCCTCCCTTCAACAAAAAGGTGGTTTGTGAGAAAAGGGGCTTGTAAAAATGGAAAGATATTTCCTCCACTTTAGGGATACATAAATTCCTAGGTACAAAAGCGACACCTGAACTGCTAAGAAACTATTTGTCACTTTGGAAGAAAGTTTAAACAAATTCCACTGTCATTGAGTCTGTCCAGACTTATAGCAATTTTCAGAGTTCTGAAGCTGTGAGTCTTAATGGGAGCAGACTGCTTTGTTATTCTCCCAAGAAGTGGTGAGTGGGCTGAAACCATTGACCTTTGGGTTAGCAGAACACTGACCACACTATGCGACAGAGGAAGAAAGAACATCAGTACTGAAGTCTCAAGCTCAAGGCCAGTCGCAGGGGGTAGGAGAAGCAGTGGGTCAAAAAGGAGTTTGTCAGAATGTGTTCTAGAGTTGAGCTGAGCCTCACAGAAGAGGAAGGCAAGATCTTTGGGTCATGTCAAAGTTTATGGTTAAGTGGATCCTCAATGCTGAAATTTGGTAAAACCAAAGAGAAGTTAAGAAAAAAACAGAAGAATGCTATTTCTGATGTGGGCCATTGTCATTTAGTAACTCTACCTTCACTGAACACTTGGCTTCAGAATTTCATGGCAAATTTTGAAAGAAACCAAAATGCACACTTAAGATTAAGATCCCATCAACCTTTCCCTTAGCACGATCATTATTATTATTTTAAAGATGGCCCACTGTGGAAGCTCATAGTTTTGCCAGCAAAAACAAAATCCTGCCATCGTTAAAAGTATGTTATGATTTGTGGCTGTGTAACCAGCATTTGACATGGAATGGTGTTCTATTTCAACTCGATTTAATTATATGCTCCTTTTATATAGCGTCGATGGCTCACACTAGCAGAATGGTTTTGCCTGGTGAAAAACTGGCCATGACTTGTCATAATGGGCTGGTTTATAGAACCACTGAAGTATAGTTACTGCCCATCATTCGGGAATTATGGCACCATAACAACCCTTTATTTACATATACTGCTGAGACAGTAAAAACAGCAAATAGATTTCTTAAATTGAGACGGCAGAAATTTCCCCCAGGGCGCTTGGCCCTCATTGTGGCGGTTACATATGCAAGTCTAAATAACTTTGTTGTCTGTGCTTGGGCAGTGCATCATTTCATGGACGGTTTATAACATTCTAATAATAAAATGGACTCTAAATTTGGACTCTGGCTTCCTGAATGTTAGATGGTAATACCCACCGAAGCAGCATCGCTAGGTGATTTGTGAGGAAGCTTTACATTTGCTAATCACACTCCCACTGAGCAGCCCTGCAAAGGGGCTGAAGTGGAATCAGTGGTCTGGTCGGCCTGTTGGGAGGCAGCAAAGCCCCGGAATGGAGAGCATGTCTGACCTAGTTTACATGAACACAGATCTGGGTCAAGTTGAAGGGTTCTTTCATCTTCACACTCTTAGGACTGGAATAATCTTGGCTTTTCCTCTCAAACAATAAAAACCTCTAGGAATCTTTTTTCTCCCCTCCTGGTCTACCCTGTATGACTTTTTCTTTGTTCATCACGATGTATCTTTGGGAGAAAAAAAAAGATTTAAAAAAACATCGGAGTAAAGAAATGCAGGCATTATTTCTCTGTCTAGAAATTTCACATACAATTCAACCCTTCTTTTCTTATTGTTGGCATTCAACTCCTTAGACAGTATTCCCTGGTCTTATTTGAATATACACAATGCCAAAGCACGCTAGGAAACATCTTGTCTGTTCTTTGCTCCTGCGTGCCGAGTTGCCCTCCCCTCATCTCTTTCCCAGTTGACTGTATGCTGTCCAGGGGGTTCTGCCTGATGGTGCCTTATGTGTCTAAACACAACTGGGTTTCAGAAGCAGATCACGAGACCTTCTCCTGAGGGGAACTCAAACCTCCCACTTTCTGGTCAGCAGCCCTGGCTGTTAACTGGTTGCCCCCTTGAACTTCTCACTTACCCCAAGCTTCTCAATAAACCCCTCATTGGCATTAGGCTGCAACCAGCTCCGAGCTGACCCTCCAGTGGGTTTGCAGAGGTAAGTGGTATGAGACTGTCCATCTCTCTGCTTCAGAGTACCTGGTGGATTTGAACCACCTGCCCTTGGATTGACAGTACAACTCCTTACCCATTAAGCCACTAGAGATCCCTCCACAGCGTCTACTAAAGTTATATATTAATCTTTAATCAGAGGTTCCATCCAGTACAAAGATTGTGCATGAAATATACCAATCATTATGAACTCTGTGATGGCATGCAGGTGGCTCAAGAGGTCAGCTACTTAAAATACAAAACAACTTAATCAGTCCATAATGACTCAAAACCGCTATGCAGACTACTAGAGTAGAACTGTCTCATAGGGTCCACAAGATGGAAAAATTTTAGAGAAGTCATTTGATTAGCCACCAAATGCTTAAGCACTGTACCACCAGTTGCTTTTTGCCTTCCAGCCAGAAATGGCCCATACCTGACCCTCTAGTGAGTTTTCGGAGGCAGTAAATCCCAGGGGAGAAGACTGCCCGGCCTTCTCCTGCAGAACAGCTGGTGGATTCAAACTGTATGCCTTTGGGATTGCAGCACAGCTTCTTACCACCAGGTAAGTTCTTTATTAGGCCACCAGCACAGCACCAGGGGCTCCACCAAATATTTGAAATGGGAGCTCTGGCGGCCTACTGCACAAGGAGCTGTGCTGACAACACAATGGCATGTGGTTTGCATTCACCAGCAGCTCCAGGGGAGAAAGGTAGGCAATCTCTCTGGTGGGATTTACAGCCTCTGAAAATCCATTGGAGGGTCAGCTATGAGTTGGTTCAGAGCAGGTGGGGCATAACAAAAACATTTGTCCAAGTTCCTGAGGCTCGGATGGGGACGCAGAGATGGTGGTGGCAGACCTGCCTTCTCTGAAGCAAGGGCTTCTCCACGTGCACATGGAGTTTTCAGCCTCCAGTGGTTGTTTCTGTTGTGTACTCTCCCACAGAGCAGTTTGAGGACTTGGACTGCATACTTTGCATTGAACATTGGTGGTTGTTTTTGTTGTTACTATTATTCTTAATTATTCTTCTTAATGATCACATTCTTTACCATTGGGGAATCAGAGGCTACACTGGACTCGTGATGGTTAAGCTTTGAGGTTATGTTGTCTTGCAAGCACCGAGTGCGAACGTTCCTCTCCGGGAGGGCGTCTGTCCTGGCTGCATCTCCCCTGTCCCCGCCCGGCCCGTGCCCCTGAGGCGCGTGGGTACTCACCCCCGGAGGGCAGGCCCGTGCAACTGCCGCCGTGCTGGCACGGGCTACGCTCACAGGCGTCCGGGTAGAGCACACAGCCCAGCTTGAGCTCCGTGAGGCCCACCACCTCGGCGAAGCTGCTGCGCTTGTTCTGCAGCGGCAGCTCGTTGTTGTTGAGCACCACCGAGTCCAGGCAGCCCTGGAAGCCGCTCAGCACCTGCGTGACCCGCGTGTCGGTCAGGCTGCGGATGTTGTCGGCCTGCACCAGGGCTCCGAAGTAGATGGCGCTCTCGGGGCTCAGCGTCTGGAAGTAGAGGGGCGCCCTGCGCCGTTCCACGTAGCTGTCGTCCAAAGACAGGCTGGTGAAGTTGCGGTTGAGCTCCAGGAAGACCGAGTGCCAACTGCCGTCATTGACCGCGCGGCCCGAGATGCCCAGGATGCCGGGCCCGCTGCCACAGTCCAGCTGGAACCACAGCTTGCCGTCCACAATCTGCAGGAGAGGAAAACCAGGGTGTTTTTAACACGGGCCTCACGATCTACCCCTGGACAATGCAACTAATGGAAACAACTCTGCTGGGGTCAATTTTTAACAGGATCCCCTGTCACACTAGTAGAACTCTGGTGGCCTAGTGGTAAGAAGTTGTGCTACAATCCCGAAGACGTATGTTCGAGTCCACCAGACGCTCCGCAGGAGACGAATGTGCAAACTCCTCCTGTGCGATTGATTAACCGCTCCTGAAAACTCCCTGGAGCGTCAGTTATGGGTTGGGATTGGTTCCAACTCAGTGGCACACAACAACAACAGCTATCTCACCGTGAGCTCTAGTGGTATAATCTATTGGGGATTGTGTTAACCTGAAGACTGCAGCTCACTGGCAGTTTCAATCCCGCAACCCCTCTGCAAGGGGAGAATGTGCAGTCTTCTTAGAAGTGACTCACAGCCCGGAAACCCAAGGACAGCCCGCTCTGAGGTCGTTCAGACTTGAGGGCCATAAGGTGTGTTTGTTTCTGTCCCATAGTCTGCCTGTGTAAATAAATGCTGGATATTTCCTAAATCTTCTTAGCAAAGAACTACTAATTGAACAGAGTTTCAGGAATCCACAATTATATTTAATAATGTCTCTATTCAATGAGTCTTCACCTTTAAAAAAAATTCAGAGGTCTGCTTATTCTTTGTACCCTTCTATGTACCATTTTTTTTTTCACCACAGGAATGATTTCTAGGAACTCGTTCATTATTCTTTACAAGTATTTATTGAGCATTTCCTATGGCCAAGCAGAGTGCCGGTTGGAAACCATGGTGAGCAAAAAGCATTAGTATCTCTGTCCTCATGGGGTTTACAGATGGGGCAGGATACCCTACTGCCATGCAATTTCTGACTCATAGTGACCCTCCATTTGGCTTCTGAGGTGGAAAACCTAATGGGAAGAGACTGTCTGGCCGGTGGATTCACAGGGCTGACTTTACCGTTAGCAGCACTGCATGCTACACACTATGCTCCTTAGAGGTGAAGGAGGTGGCTGTAAATCAAACAGCCATATGAACATATACACACCCCTCCCCTCCCACCATAAATCTGTATGAGGGTGTTACAGGGGGGAGACAGCAGTCAGATAAAAATAAAGGTTTTCCTAGTTCCAATCTCCATACGTGTTTAAGATTTAACAAACTTTGTACTATTAAACAGGAGAGGGCTGGGCAATCTCCTCCCATGTGATTAACTGCCTCTGAAACCCTGCTGAAAGGTCAGCTATGGGTTGGTTCCTACTCAACAGTACTCAAAAAGAACAACAACATAATAGTAAACATTAAAAACAAACAACAAACTGACCTGACAAGGACTCATAATGACATCATAGTGTAAATCAGACTACAATTATGTTTCACAGAGTTTTGAATGGCTGATTTTTTAAAGCACAATTCTGAGGGCCTTGACCTTCAACCTCTCACTGAGGAGTCAAGCACATTACCTGTTTACAACACACAGGCACTCCATATTCATGTACTTTACAGAAATCCTTTACCACCATTAGTCAGCATTTTGTTTATGAATAGCTCAGAGTTCTCAGGGCCACTTGCTTCGAGTGTACTCAAGGACATCTGGTCTTCTAGAAAAAACTTCGATCACATTTGCTCACCACTCAGGACTATTCCCAGTCTCTGGTCTTTGCTGAGTTACAATGTCTGCCTGCTCTTTTGACAGCACTGGTGCTCTGGGGGGCTCTCTGGTATCCTAGTCCCTGGGAATTTTGCTGTTAACCCAAAGGTCATGCCTCTCTGACAGTTAGAGCACATCAGTTCCAAGGGAGACCTGTGGGTAATCTTCTGTGCTGCAAGTTACAGCTTCAGAAACCCAGTCGAGGAGGGTCAGCTGAGTTGTGGATGCCTTCAAAGTGTCCAATTTCCCTGAGAAGGCTAACCTCAAGGGGGCATTAAATGGAACAACAAAGCATGTGCCATTGAAAAATTTGTTGTTTTTGTTATGTGTCATTGAGTCACCTGCAACTCACAGTGACCCTATGCACAATAGGTCTGAATCCTGTCCTATTCTGAGCCAGTCTCACTGTCTCTAACACACTTACCCCCACTACCCTACTCCATCTCATCCAGGGATTTCCTCTCCTGCACTGTCCCTTGACCCTTCTAAGCACGATGTTCTTTTCCAAGGACTGGTCCTGTCTGGCAACATGCCCAAAGTATGTGAGATAGAATGTCAAAATCCTTGATAGTGGCTAGCAAAGAACTGCTGGGGGCTGGAGTTGGTCCTCTACAGAGAAGTAAACTCAACTGTGGCTGAGGAATGGCCTTGAATCCCCGTTTATTCACCATCATCTGTATTTCTCAGAAAGGTGAGGTTGAGATCTGGAAAATGAAGGCTACACCATCCCTGTCTACCTAACATGTATACTGAGTCATGAAGGGGCCCACAGCCAAGAAGTGTAGGACAAAAGCAACTTTTCTGGCCTTTTTTTGAGACCCAGCAAAGGCTGAGCATGCAATAGGGCTGAGCTGCATTTAGGATTTCCTGGCATTCCTAATCCTGGGTATCAAAGTTTTGGTAGGAAACATGTACTCGTGCACAGAAAAGACGAAAGAGGGAGAGAAGAGGAAAGGGAAAGAATTAGAATGAAAAAAGAAGAAAGGAGGATGGAAGAGAAGGAAAGACAAGACATTGGTCACTAACAGCTAAGAAAGTAGAAATGCCAAGTGAGTTCATAAAGGTAGATTAGAACTCAATAATTCAACTCAAACTCATCGCTGCTGAGCCAGTTCTGACTCATGTTGTTTTGCTGCAGGCCATTGAGTTGGAACCGACCCATAGCTGACCCTCTGGTGGGTTTTCAGAGGCAGTAAATAATGTGGGAGGAGATGGCCCGTTTTTCTCCTGCAGAGTAGCTGGTGGATTCAAACCACGTGCTTTTAGGATGGCAGAGCAGTTCTTTACCACTAGGCCACCAGAGCTCCTATGCCACCAATAGGTCCCCAAAATGCTTTAGTCATAAAACACCTGATAGGATTATAAGAACATGTGCCATTCTTAGGGTCTATTACTTACTCTATGTCTCAGTGCATTCTATAAAAAGTTAGAGACTCTCGCTCCTGCCTTTGTGGCTCCAGGGATCCTCTGGTACCCTCTCATATTGAAAGGTGCTGTCAAGTTGCCCAACTCACACGGTCACCCCTTGGTTGGAGTGCAACTGCCCCACAACATTGTCTTGCCTGTAATCTTGACAGGAGCAGATTACTAGATCTTTCTTCCAAGGAGCTGCTGGATTAAGCCAATGCTTAACAGAGCTCCCTGTACTACATGCAATTTCTAAGTCTGTGCAGTGTAACTTTGTGGGGGGCAGTGAGCTCTGGGGAATCTGGACTGAGGACCCTAACTGAGGCTTTGGTATGAGCTTCCCAGGCTTCCTGGTGGGGATCCTTCTTCCATACAGTGGAGTTCCTCAGTGGGGTAAATGGTTAAGTACTCCACTCTCTCCCTCATTGTTTTCTCTCAGACTTCTCTCTCAGAGCTCCCTAGTGTGAGCTTCACAAAGCATGGTGTTAAGACTAGAATCAGAAGCGGCACCTAAGAAATTAGAAAATAAAATTTTCACACTGCCTAGTTAAAAACTCAGCGGTGAGCAAAATTCTATTAGTGTGTGTGTGTGTGTGTGTGTGTGTGTGTGTGTGTGTTTTTAACAAGCCAACCTACCAGTGATTCTGATGGCTGAATCACCTGCTACTCATAGTGACTCTATGCACAATAGCTCTGACCCCCACCCTGTCTTGAGCCAGTCTCACTGTCTCTGACACACCTACCCTCATTACTATAGTCACTGTGTCAACCCATCTCACCCAGAGTCTTCCTCTCCTGTCTGTACCTCCACCCTTCTGAGCATAATATTCTTCTTCAAGGATTTGTCCCTCCTGGCCATGTGCCCAAAGTATGTGAGAAGGAGTGGTAAGGAATTGCACTGCCAATGGAGAGGTACGTGGTTCAAATCCACCAGCTGTTCTGTGGGAGAAAGACAAGCCATCTCCTCCTGTGTAATTCACTGCCTCTGAAAATCTGCTGGATGGTCAGCTGTGGGTCAGGTCCCACTCGTGGGTACACAACAATGAGAACGACAACTAGTAATCGTGATGTGTGCTCAAGTTTGAAAACTATTAATCTAGATCCTTCCTAACCCTCCCTGTCCTCATTTTAAGAGCAGGTGTTATCAATCAAATTATGGATACACATACTCCAAAGATGTGTTGAAAATGCAATACTTTGTACCTCTAACGAAGACTTGTTAGGGAATGGGGTTATTGAAGGTGAAACCAGTTATATTTACATGTGGTCATACTGCAGGTTGAGGCTGAGGTCGAACCGACTCACAGCTGACCGTCCAATGGGCTCCAGAGGCTGTAAGCTGCATAGGCGAGACTGTTCATTTTTCTCCCTCAGAGCTGCTGGAGGTGCCAGAGAGGTGCCGCCTTGGGGTTAGCTCCTGATAGACCAGGCCAGCAGGCTCCCCCTAAATGTAAAGTCAGCTGTTTGGACCCACCAAGAGGTGCCTCTAAAACCGTCCTGTTGGTCAGCTTCTGAAAGCCTAGACTACCCAGTGCAGCAGTTCTCCTCTGCACCCGAGGGGGCGACAGAGGTCAGCACACACGGCAGCCAGCAATGGTGACAGCTGGGCCCTGGTGACCACGCCTGTGGCTTATTTTACAAGGACGCCGCGCCCCCTGCAGAAGGGTTGGCCGCACGACACACTATTAGTCCACAGATACTCTGTGAATGCATGGATGCAAAAAGACCAGGGAAAGGTTTTATTTCTTTTCAGAGGGCTTTCATGTATGATCTATGCTGTTGCCTTTGCCATTTTTTCCTTTCTAGTTCAACAAAATGGACTGAATGGATATTATAAATCATAGCGGAATACTTGCTCAGTGACAACTCCTGGATAATATCCATATTCGTATTTCAATGTAAGTAATAAAATGATCAAATGTGA